GGGCTGCCCCGCGCCGCGCACAAAGGCGGGCGGGCGGAGCGGAGCGCGCGGCCCGGCCCGGCCCGGCCCGAGTAGCGCCGGGGGCCGCGGAGGGGACCCCGCCGCTGCGAGGGGGCAGGGCCGGGGGCGTAAAGTAAAAGCGCCCAACAATGACGGAGCCTCCCGGCTTAAATGAAGAGGGCGCGTTTATTGTGATAACTTCAGGCAGCGAGGAGCGATGGCGGTTGGAAAGGGGAGCCCACGAGCGTTAACGTCTCTCTCTCACACGCACGCATACAGCCGGTGATTTGGGAGCAGCCAAGACGCTCCTCTCTCAGGAGACATTTTAAATACCTTGCTACTGAGTTATAGCCGGTGTTTTATGTGCGTCTTGTGCCCAGAGCGACTGCAACGGCCGCCTACCCGCGTGTGAAAGTCATGGTGACCGCGGGACCTCTCCCAGCCCCGGGAGCGCGGTTTSGGATGGGTGCTGCAAGGCTCGCCAGTATCTCCGGTCAGGTTTTTGAAGCACAGTTTTCTGAGAAATTAGTGTTTGCAAGAGAATGGGGAAAATGGCACCGGCGGCCGCTTCTTTCTGTACATCTACAGTCCCTTCATTCCCACAGAAAGGAAGTTTTGTTGGTGCTTCTAAAATGTGTAGTCAGGAAAGAGGATGGCAGCCGAATGGGGAATTTGCAGTACACATTGGACCAGTAAGAGTAATGAACTCTGCTCCTGAAGATGAGGAGAATCCTAAGACATTTTCCAAACATTCATCAAACAAGCCAGCTGGGGCCAAACTCTTCTCAGTGGTGGCCAGTGATAGGACAAGGGGGCAATGGGTACAAGTTGTAACACAGGCAGTTCCGTCTCCATGTGAGGAAGAGCTTCACTGTGAGGGTGCCAGAGCCCTGGCACAGGCTGCCCAGGGAGGCTGTGGAGTCTCCTTCTCTGGAGATCTTCCCAACCCGCCTGGATGCTGCCCTGTGCCCCGTGCTCTGGGTGCCCCTGCTGGAGCAGGGGGTTGGACTGGATGATCTCTAGAGGTCCCTTCCAACATCAACCTGTCTGTGATTCTGTGAAGCCTCCGTGCCTTGGGGAGGAGCGGCCTCCTACCGGTCCGACGGTTCATACAGCCCTTGAGAGGCAGAACCAGGCACCAAGCTGCTCTGTCCAGCTGTCCCCCTTCTCCGCAGCGAGCTGCAGCCCTTTCACATTACACAGTAATGGGCTGCACAATCTGATGGGAATGGGACAAGCCCAGCACTCATTTCTCGCTGTCACAAGTGGCAWGGGTTAATAAGAGACATCCATATTCCTTGTGATAGCTACAGATAAAATTTGGGCATGCTATTTAGGCCACTTCCTTTCTCCCAGCAGTGCTGTCCCACATTCAAACTAATTAATAGGAAGTTCTGTGCTGTGTAACGACTGTAGGAGCGGGATCATGTTTAGAAATTGCACAACGTTAAATAAGTCTAAGTTCTCATTTGCTGAAGTTCGTTGAGTTCTGTTAAGAGCTTCTCAGCTCTTCTCAGAGGACTCCAGTTCAAAAGTGATATGCACAGATGATATCTTTCTCCATCCTCTGCAAAAAAAAAAGTTTGATTCCTCACAGCTCATATTTATAGCAAATTTTCCTCTGTCCATCTACATTAGCAATTAACTTCTTCCGAACTTCTTTCTAGCACAAAATCCGATCTGTGTTCAGCTGTAAATGATAGTATTGTTTTCCTACTCATTGTAAAACACTTGAACACTGGGTCTTTATTCAGAAGGAAGTGTTATACACTCTCTCCCATGGAAAAAGTGTGTGAATTTCCAACCAGTGTCAAAAAGCCTCAGGGGCTTAAGCCTGCAGTTTTCAGACCTGGGGATGCATCGTATAGTCCAGGAAAGGTAACAGGGAGATCCGAAGTTCATCATCAGTCAATTTAAATTCTCTCCGTAGAGAAAATTTACCTTTGCAATACTCAGGAGTCACTGAAATGGAAAACACTGCTCTAAGCAGTGCATGCCATGAGCAGAAGGGTCCTTGTGTACAGGGCCAGGTTTGTACATACAGGTAATGACTTTTATTCTGCCAAATGGTGTAGGAAGAGAAACAGACTGACCTCTGTGCCAACAGGCCCCTTTTGGGGTCCAAAGCAGTAACTATTAAAGCAAAAGGCTTCTTGAGAACAACAGTTCAGAGCTTATATGTGTATCAGAGGACACCTTTGGAAGAGAAAGTAGGAACTGGAATGGAGGGAGTGCTGTGGCAGGGAGAAAAGAGAGCAGAGAGCTGTTAAGTTCATGTAAGTTCCTAGAACTTGCTGGTTTTAATGATTTTTCACATAACAGAAGAAAAACCTACACGGAACAAAATCTTCCCAGAAGCGCTTGTCCTACATTTCAAGCACCCCAAACCACAAAACTCATCATTAGAAGTGTAATTCTCAGATGGGTTTAGAGTGTTGCCTGAGCAAGAAAAAGTRAAACGTGCTGCTGCCTTATCCACTGCTACTGCCACAAATATCCCCTGCCACAGCATCACCAGGAAAGCATTCCCAGGAATGTGATGCACCTCATCATAGGATGGCAGGAGGGCCTTCCCGGTGGATAGGACCACTCAGCACCAGCACGGGCTCCCACAGACATGAAGGTCCCCAACTCTGCTGCCAGGGCATGGAAGTTTCCCCCTAAACAGGCATTTTCTGTGATCTTTTAGACCTGATCCTTAGGGGAAGCTGACAAAACCTGCCCTACGGAGGTGAGCGTGGGGATGAGCAGTGCTGGACACCAAAGCCACGGGCTCGGGAGAGGTGCTGCTCTGGTCTGGCAGCACATGAGGTCTCCCCTCTGCCTTCATGCCCTGCTTGCCTCTGCTAGAACTGACAGGCTGTGAGCTCGCTGTGCCTCCCCTTTGCTTAGCTGCCCTTCCCTTCCCGCCACCTGCATCATTAACAGCCCCTCCATTCTACAGGTACCCTCTTCTTCCTTTCGGAGCTGGCTTAATTAACAAATCTCTCGGGAAATGTTAGGCAATTGTCTAAGCTGACAGCTGCTGCTTCTGTTTCTCCTCCGACAAAGAGCTCGTGTGGCCAAAAGCCTGTGTTTGCCAGTCATACCTCTTGGTCTAGGGAAAGAAATTATTTCTTCATGCAACCCCAATACTGCACTTTGCATCCACAGAAAACTGTTTGTCTGATTTCTGTCTGATTTTTATAATGTTTTCACCATGGATGAGGGCCAAGAGAGGGAAAACTGGCCTGGATGCCCCTTTACATTTGCTTCAACACAACAGCAATTATTATGTCCTTATGATATAAGTAGTGTTTTTTAATGTTATTTTAGTATTTTTTTCATTTCCCTTTGCAATGGAAATACAATATCCCATCCCAAGAGAATCTGTGCATTTGAAATGAAAAAAAAAAGACATTCTTTGTAAAGAAATTAATCTTTTACTTCAAAACAATATGTTACATTGTTACTGGTTACAGTAGCYACTGGAGGAGACTAGGACTCTGGCAGTTCAGAGAAGCACCAAATTTTGTCCTTCTCACCCTCTCACATGCCTAGGCTCTGAAACTATGAGGATAAATGCTGGAATTTTGCTGTCTATTTTTTTTTTCTTTTCTTTTTTTCTTTTTTTTTTAACTTGTTAGGAGGCAAGAGGAAAAGAACCCCACAAGTCCTTGGCACGAATGAGGCTTTCTAAATTTTGGAAAGAAGGAGCAGAATGTAGTCGCTCTATTTTCATGTTTTCTGGTAAGTGACAGAAATAGGATAGGTCACATCCTTCCTTTCTGCAGGATTTAAGGAAAACTTGTTTCTGTAGAGGAAATGATTCAGCTTTATGTTACAGCTTTATGTTTGTATGTTACAATATATTATAACTGCAAAGTGTGTTTGTAATATGGTTGGTTTCTACCCAGATAAATAAAATCTAAGGATAGATGATAAAATAAATGTATATTGTCTACTAAACAAAAGCAAAAGTCATGGTCAAAATAATTTACTTCTTAGCTGACTCAAGATTTAAGGATTTCAGTATCAAATAAGGGGCTAAAAGTATGATGATCATAACATAGTGTGCTAAATTAAAGGTAGAATGTATTTTAATTGATGGTGAACATGAGTCTTGCATGATAAGAACAGCTATTGTTTTTGGTGGGGGGACGGGGAGTTGGTTCTGGATGGGGAGGGAGGATTTTTGATAGCTCAGTAGAGAGAGGGACTCAGGTATGAAACCTGTACTGAGTAACAACATGCACAATACCCTCATGAAACCTTTCCTGGTGTCCTAGGGGATTGCAGGTGAGGGAGCAGAGCTCCGCAGTTCGAGGGGGTCTCTCGGCACCTCTCCCTTCAGGGGGGCAGCTCCTGTCCCCACGAGGTGCCGCCGGGGCTGCCGGGGCGGGGATGGGTGCCGGGCGCTAAGTAGGGTGCACTCTATTACCATGTTAGAGCTGCCAAATAGCCGGGTGAGTCTTCAAACCAAGATGTTTGACACTAGAATTTCAGAGAGAGATCTACAGGCTAAACCTCTGGACA